TTTACTTTTAAATGTGAATTTCGATGAAGTTGCCCGTGGAAATGATATGGAACGCACGGATTTGTTAGTGGGCCCTACTTGTTAATTGAAAAATCTTTTTCTGAAACGACTTTTCTAATTTGGTGGGGCTGTTGAAAAGTATTCTGGGCTGAGGCCCAATTTTCCAAATCAGTTGGTTGTGTTCTGTACATCAGTGTAAGCCTAAATGTAAGAGTTCTATCTGGCCCAATGCTTCAAACATGGTATGAACAGAGATGATATCGATATAGATTCAAAGAAGTTTCAAACCAAATGCTACTTGTGACTGTCAGCTAATGTTGGTTTGACATGCTACTTGTGATAAGTTATCTACAGGTAGAATTGTGAATCATAACAAGAAGTTTGTGAGTTCGATTCGACTTGTTTAGTTAACTCGATCTGTATGTTAAGCTCGAGAATATAATTTTTTTTCGTTACATTTTTAACTTTTAATTTAGCTAGACGCATTAAGGTTAGAGTTTAGCTCGTTAACATTTATAAACGAGTTGAGTTCAAACTCGTTCAACGATTTATTAAGTTGACAAGCTGAATTTGGCTCGACTTGATAAAGGTTTGAGTCTGAACTCGATTCCTTTTTTTGGAAATACTATTTTTCTTTAAAGAAAGTAATTAATATTGTAGTGAGACAAATATATATATATATATATATATATATATAGATATGTGTATATATATATATATAAATTAATTTAATTATTGGGATTTAATATTTTGAATTTGATCATCGTTCGACTATATATCACTATAAACTTTTCCTAATGAGGATTATCACAAGAATTACAAAGAATTTGGTTTGTACTTCTTTCCTAGTACCAGTCTTATCAATATAGTAAAACGGTGATTAAAACGGAATTGTATTAAGTCACTTTTCAAGAAATATGGTTATATGGCTTGACTTTTAACAGGGAAAATGATTGGTCATCAAATTATGAGATTAGTTGAACATTGTGTAGTTGGACATATACGCACATGATTTAAAATGCAAATTATATGTAATTTATAACCTTTTTTTTCATGTAAACTTTGTTTTCATATCTTCACTTTGACATTTCATTGCAATTTCGCCGACATCCGTATCTTGTTATTCGCAATTCACTCAGAAAGTCTAAAGAAAAAATGTTAACAGACTCATTCAAATCGAAAAGTAAATGAAAAACGGTCCATTACATCTCGTGGAAAAATTACAAGAAAAACGCGTAATTTTCATTCATTTTTTCTAGATCATACATACATACATACAATGTGTACATTGTATATAAATCAATATTTTCAAGAATATTTATGACATTTTTCGCCTTTCTTCAGTTTGACAATGATTTGAAAATTTTATTATTTTCGCGTTGAAGCTCAGTATACACAATAGGGGTCTTAATATAAATTAATTAAGCGTTTATTTTGATTTTATAATTTTCTCACCGTGCAAAATAATATAATGCCTCCACTTTATTAATCAAGCTTTAAAAGTCAATATACCAAATATATAATGGTCTTATTTGAGGTATTCACTTATCAAATTTATAATTTAGCCCCTAATGTTGGGAAAAATAGGTTGAATTATCCATGAAGTCGGGTCTATATAAAAGTGAAATAAAAAAGAAAAATTAGAAACACCAAATTGATAACGGAGTTCGGCCAATAATGTCTACGTCTCCGGACTACTGCAGATATTTTATCAGGAGAAAAGAAATACACTTTGTTTACAAAACACTCTCAAAATCATTCACAACTCACAACTCAAATACATCGTTCACAACTCACAACTCAAATACACACAGTAGCTAAAATTCTTGATTCTTGCGCACACCCTTTTTCTCTTTCTTTTCTCTCTTTTGGATGTTG